TTTTGAAACATTGTTTGATTTCATTATTCACCTAGAACAGCTTTCAGAATTCTCTTATGTTCATCTTTTCCTACATGGAAAAGGAAGAATTAATCAGTAAAATACATTCTACACTTTTATAGCCTTATTTATAAATATGGAATCATTTCACTGGAATGGTCTTGTTATGCAATGTTTTGACTTCGTCTAAGAATGATTTATGAGATGTAAAAAAAAAGAATGATTGATGAGATGTCAGTAACTATGCATATAAAAATTTTTAAAGTGGTGTCAACCTTAGAATGTGTCCTTGTGATGTCATAACAAGTGGCTGGAGTACAAAAAAATTCAGTCAATAAATAGATTGTTTTATTTTCAAATAGCAAAATACTATTTTCCTGCTATTATGCTGATGGAGGTTAAATGACCATTTGTACACACACATGCATGCATTGGCTTAGATATGCTTTTTGAATAGTTCAGTAAGATAAAATTCCTTATAGCACTAGCAAAAGTATTTTGAGACTTTTATTCACTGAATTGTCTAGGAATTTACTTTTCATGTAGAAAGAATCCTCTCAAAGATATCAGAGATTAGATTCAGGAAAGCAGTTTAAGTAGATTTCTGAGCCTCACAATTAAAATGTTAACTCTAATTCACTTTGAATTATTTAACATGTAAGGAGACATACCAGACTGGCATTTATACAACCTCCATTTATACATATTTCTATATCTACACACATGCCTTGCTATGTTTGTAGTGAAGGCACAGTGTTTCCCCACTGGACATGCACACAAGTGCTGCTAAGAAGTGCAAAAGAGTTAACAGCCTATGGGGAAGATAGTTAACTAATGAGATGGGAGCTAGCAGATGCTTCTGTCTTCCTTCTTCCCTAAGATGAGTTGTACAGAGATGCAATAGTTTCATATGTCATATCATAAGAGACTGAGAGCAAGTAGCTCATTATTAAACTGATTTTGGCCAGCTCACTAATACTTCTTTATGTTTTCTCCCCTTTCTTTCTCTATCTCACTATGTTGGTGGTTTTATTTTCCCTATACTTCTCTGAGACTGCACATAACTTTTCCTCCAAACTCCATTTTCTAAGAAACCCAGGCTAAGACAGTTGGAAATTAAGAAGATTGTAATAAAATCATAGTTCCACTCAAACTCAGAACTGTGTGTCTTTGGCTAAGCTGTTTTCCCTCTCTGTGCATATTTCATTCCACCAATAAAATGTTTATGTTAGACTAGACATTTTTAAAAATTCTTCTGTCTTCGATATAGTGGTAGGGTAGAAGATTGTCAGTGTGAAGAAGGTGAGACGATAGGAAAAGTTAAAGTGTTACAATGGCCAGTGATCATCAATGGATTGCTTACATTTGAGTCCAAATATTGCAATCACTATAATCAATGAGTTTGATCCAATCAATCTAAAGTTCCCAAAATAGTATCAGTTCTGCTTTCTGCAGAAAGAGGATGAATTTATTTTATCCTGCCCTCTGTGGCACAATGTAAAAAATTCTCTACATTATGGACTCTCTGCGAAATGGCAACTAGTTAAAAGCAATTTCCAAAGGGAATAGTAGAAAAGTTTGTGATGCTACCATCTTGAGAAGCCAAGACAACTAATATATGGTGTCTGTAACTTGTACTTGTCATATAGAAGCACTTCTGTTTCCATTTCTAACTCCAAGTGTACTGGAATTAAAGAAAGGACTGTTCACCTTGTGAGACATGCTGCTCCAGGAAGGTTTACATTATGTTCTCCTCCTGACTCTGGAGTATGGATTTGGATTCAAAACTTAGCTCCACTACTTGCAAGGTTTGTTATTTTTTCCTAATTCTTGGGTAATTCCATTTTTAAAAGTTTTAAAATAGCTATACTAATCAGGGTCTGCATTGTAGAGTTTTGAGAAGTTTAAATGAACTAATACAAGTAACAGGCTTAAATAGTACTTAACACATACTAAGAACTGTATAAATGTTCACTATATTTATTAGAGCTATAGTGATGGTGGAAGATAGGCTGGAAAGAAAAACTCTTGGCTAAAACCATATGAAATGTATCAAGGGACCAATATGTGGAAAGCATGAGTATTAGGGGGTAGCAGATGACTTAAGTACAAAAAAATGTAAAGCAGGAAACTCCCTCTAAATATTACTGTTTATATAGAATGACACAAAGTTTTAAAAAAATCACAAGAACAGAATCTCTCTGCAAGATTTAGAGTTCTTTCATATATATTTTAAATATACATGTGCAATACATTAAAATATATAGAGATATGTGAATATATATATATATATATATATATATATATATATATTCACAGAAAGGATACTACTATGCACACTCACTCATACATCCATGCACATACCCCAACAGGACCCATCTATACTTAAACCAGATGCAGTCCATAATATCAGGCCAACTTGGACATAAGTGAAAGCCCTGACTCAGTAGCAGATTGCAGATCGCAACTGCATTTGAGTAACACTTCAGTTTCTTTTACCAAGTGTAAGGCCATTTAGAAATACACTGAGAAGAGCTCCTCTGGGTATATGGCAGAGCCCAGAGCCCTTCCAGCAGTGCACAATTGCCTGAGTAAGGACTGCAGGATTAGAAATCAAGGAGCTATCGAGGAGGAGGAACTTGTGTTATTTTTATGTCCTGAAACTAATAAGCAAACATCCATAGAATATATTTAGCTCCAGGAACAATGCACTAGTATTTTATATATCTCAGCTCTAAGCAAATTTCAGGCAAAAGCAGAAAGAAGTGTGTGTTGCTACTAATAATCATCCAGCTTGACCCAGAGAATTGAGTATAGATCTTAGGGGTAGATTAATCAATCAGGCAGATTTAGAAGATTTTTAAAAATTACTTGAAACTGAACAATATGAAAGCAACATAAGGGATTATAGGTATTGGTTTGGATTTATACATGTTCCAAGAAGCCAAACCTTTTATATGGCACCGTTTGCAGCAATATCATTAGCATTATTAATAATGGTTGTAACATATTTATATATACAAAAATAGAGCAAAGCAACTTTAGAAGAGGAGGTGTAAGTAGTGAAGGTGTGGGGCTGTGTGCAGCCCAAATGTCAGTACACTTCAGGAAGATCCAGAACCCATAAAGATTGAGTGGCACATATTTTCATAATTTTCTTTTGCTATATCCCAATATACATATTCAACAAAATGGTGTGGATGTTCCCTTCTTCTTCCCTCATGTATTAATATAACTTCTCCCCATATTTCCACTCTGCAACACACATTCATGCACACTTTAAAAGATATTAAGTAGAAAGTTAGAGTCTGGAAGTCTTATACTAAGTTGAAGCACCTTGGTTTCAAGCAAGTGCCCTCAATCTCTGAATTCCTTAGAGAATTTTTGATTCACTTACAGAGGGAAACTGTACATCATGTCTTTTAGCAGCAGTCTTTAAGGGGTTGCCATCCATCACCATTGCAGCCTTTTCCCATTGAAGGGGGTTCATAGCATAGGCTCTCCATATTTTCTAAAAGAGAAGTTAGTTCTCTTGCATTATACATCTTTCATCTGAGTTTTTCACTGTTGATGAAATTTTGGTTCCCAGGCAACTGACATTGTAGAAAAAGCCAGGAGTGAGCAAAGTGTGTGTAGTAAAGAAGTAGATGCAATGGTGAAGGTACAGCTTTGTTAGGGCTTCTTTCAGTTTTTTCTTCTCTGCACTCGAGCTTCTATAAGGTGAGAGAGTCAATGTCCAATAGGGGGAGCCTTAACATTTAATAGGTAATTAGCTATCCACCATGCATTGCATAAAGACCACCACACTCACCTTGCATGGTTCCTGAAAAAAAAAAAATGGAAAAGGAATGGCTTTCTGTGACTCTTAATAGAGTCCTGGGGGGGGGGGAGTACCATGACTTAATGTGGTGCAGGATAAAGAATATGGAATGCCAGTATTCCAATTCTAACCCTGTTTATAACTCAGTGTATGGCCTAGGCAAGTCCCTTCCTATCTCTGGACCTCAGTTTTCCCATCTGTAAAATAAGGGCATTAAGCTAGATTAATTGTTAAAGTTCTTTCCAGCTCTAAAGTTTTCTGACTTTTTATGTCCTTAGGCCTGAGCCATGCAGTCTCAGGGCAGTTAGCTTCTAAGAGAGACAGACCTCCCTAATATCCTTTGCTTTGTTCATTTAGTTATAAAGCACGTCTGCCTTTGGCACTTGGGTCAGACATACAAAGTTAGAAGCATCCTGATTCACTATCCTACTCAGCATGCTAGTGGAATCTGTCAGTACTACAAGTCATTATTGGAAATGGGAGTAAGATTCTAAATAACTAAACCTGTAAATGTAAGATAACTTTGCCTTATATGATCACAAACAGATAAGTGTGGTTGTGAATGCACACATACATATCAGATATAGACTATTGCTAGTGATCAATTCATTACAGTAATCCATATCCCTTAATAAAAATTAGTAAATATATAGCATAGCAAAATTCAGAGACAAAAGAAACACCTATGGAGAAATAGCACTTTGGGAAGTATTAGAGAAAAAGGACAGGCAAGGAAAAACAAAGATAGGTCAAACATATAGTAATAGAGTCACAGCAATGATTAGTCTGATGGAGAAAGAGTAAAAGCAGAGAGGTGGGAATGAAGGGAGAGTAGCATAGATTAGGATAATGGAAGAAGAGAGTAAAGAAGAAAGGAAGAAAGAAGGAGAAGGAGTCAGATTCCCTGGGAGATTGGATGCTATTCCACATTAACCTGTGAAAACCATCTTAGAAGAAAGCTCCCAAAGGCACTGTGGAAAGCAGAGTGATGCTTAGAGTCCGCACATGAGAGGCTTTATACTAGGGAGCCCCTAAACATGTTGCAGGCTATGGGGGTCCTCAGTGTCCAATCCTCATGCCTATTTATCACCTGAATTTGTCATGGCAGCCATAAAGGCTGAGCTGGCGGGATGTAAAAAGGTTGAAGAGGAGTGGGATAGATACTGGGAGAAGAACAAGGCATCCTGGCATCCTATACCAGGATGTACTTGGCCATTCCTCTGACTCTGCAGGAACAAAAGAGGTGAGGCCCTAACTTTGGCTAGTTTATTACATTTTCCCCTCTTCAAAAGTGAGGCCTTTTACTGATGGGGGTTAAAGGAGAAAACTCTTATTCCAGGTTGTAGGAAGGTCATACAGACTTTTCCTGGGCCTTGGAGAAGGGTGCACTACTACCAGAAGAGATTTTTCTGCACACGGTGTTAGTGTGCCTCTTACAGCGGCAGCCTGGTCGCCTGAGGCTATCATAGCCCTGCTGGCACAGATGGAGGCATCCACGGGTAGGCAGGTAGCAGCACAGGCAGGGTAGGAAAAGGGAGATGAGGCTCATGGCTGCCCAACGGACTAAGCAAGAGCTCGGCCCACAGGAGCAGGGCTCATCGGCACAGTTGTCTTCATCATCAGTGGAGCAGTGGTAGAAGAGGCCCTTGACACAGCAGAGACAAGTGCCATAATCGAGGAGGCTCTCAGCAGAGCAAAGGCAACGCTGGTTACAAAGCCAGCAAGAGGGTAAAGGGCGAGCTGCAGTACAGGGGACACACTTGCAGCGCCCACACTCCTCACAGATGAAAAGGTGCTCCCTAGGGTGCACTGCCGATTGCTCAATATCTCCCTTCAGAGCTCCATCAGCCTTTGCTTGGGCCCCTGTTCCAGGCTGGGTTCGGATGATGGACTGGCCTGAAGGTGAGGGTGTAGTGCTGACCAAGAGCCTTTGATCAGAGGCAGTGGTGCTATGGGACATTGAACTGGCAATGCTAGATTGGCTCAGAAGCTGAGGCAAGGGCTGCAATTGATGGCACTGGCTGAGACTGCGGGGGAGAGCAGTAGGCATGGTAGCCAGGGACCAATCAGATTTGTGGGTTTGCACGATAAGGGAAGGGCTTGAAAGGGCCTGCTTACAGGGAGGTGGAGGCCGTTCCACATAATCATTGCTAGCGTGAGTAGAACGCAGCTGTTCAATAGGCAGAATTTGTTGGAAATCATCCGTTATTGAAGCATCCATTTTGCTTTGATTCTTGAACTCCAACTAGTTTTGAGTGAGGGTGGCACTTATGGTGATATAGAGGAGACCTTGTAGTTATATGAACATCACGGCACATCAGAATATCCTAGGAGGAAAGAAAGAAAGAAAAAAAAAAAAAGAAGAAACACACAGGAATGAGCACTTTACAGGGAACCAGAAGAGGTTAGAACCTATCGCCACCACTACCTTCGATTACTTTGCAGTTCAGGTTACACCTTTCATTTATCATTTTCCTCACCGACTTCTTAACATCTTATTGTGTGACTCATAACAAACATGACTAACATTGAGAAGAATGAGAATCCTAGAACATTTAATTGTGCTCATGCAAAACCTATCCCTAGACCAACAAGCAGTCATCCAAACAGAACAAGGGGACACTACGTGGCTTAAAATCAGTAAAGATGTGCATCAGGGCTGTATCCTTTCTCCATACCTATTCAGTCTGTATGCTGAGCAAATAATTTGAGAAACTGGGCCCTATGAAGAAGAATGTGGGATCAGGATAATAAAAAAAACCTGCATTATTGAGATGACACAACTATGCTTGCTGAAAGTGAGAAGGATTTCAAGTGCTTGCTACAGAAGATCAAAGACTACAGTCTTCAACATGGATTACATCTTAACATAAAAAAGACAAAAATCCTCTGGACCAATTAGCAACATTATGATACATAGAGATGAGATTTTCCAAAGAGCAAGAATGTCAGTTTAAAAAGTAAGGTGTGACTGATCCAAAACATGATATTTTCAGTTGCTTCATATGCATGTGAAAGTTGGATGATGAAGGATCATTGACTAGAAATATTGGTGTGGGAGAAGGGTATTGAATATCCAATTAACTCCCAATAGAACAAATAAAGGCTTCAAGGAGGCACAACCAGAGTGCTCCTTAAAGGAAGGATGGTGAAACTTTGTCTCACATACTTTGGGTATGTTATCAAGAAGGTCCAGTCCTTGGAAAGTGACCTCATGCTGGGAAAAGTAGAGGGTCAGTGAAGGAGCGGAAGATCTTAAGGATATGTACTGACATAGTGATTGTGAGCATGGTGGTGAACACGAAGATAGTGCAGCGTTGTGAAACTTCAGTGTTGATACGAGTTGTAGTGGACTTGATGGCAACTAAAAACCACAATAAACTTCTTTACAGACAAGCCTGATCACCCTATACAAACCATAAAGCATTTTAATATCAGAGATCAGATTTTTTTTAGCCCCTTTATTCTCTCAAAGGACTAAGTTTACAGGAGTAGTTAACTTATTCAGGTATTTGAGAATACAGAGAAAGCTAAGCCTTGAACATCAGAATTCTGATAAAAATGGAATCTAATTTCAAATGCAAAGACCATTAATAAAATGTCTCCTTTTCAGTGCCATTTGAAACAGGCAGAAATTAACGGAGAAGAAAGGTAATTAATTGATCCAATGAATATAAGTAAGTGAGAAAGATTAAGATAATGGCAGAGGCATTGAAGAAACACAGAAGGCAGGAATTAGACTGTCTGTAGGGCAATAAGAATTTGCTTAGAGAAGCAAAGCTTTCCAAGAGTGTAAGGAATAAGAAAGCCAAGACAAATTATATAATTGTTTTCATCATCTTATAATAACACTGGAGATGAGGCAGTCATAAAAGATGAGCCCACTTCACTCTGAGTCAACTATCTATTAAAAGAATTTACTAGATTTATTCTATGTGTACTTTCTCCCTTCATTCTTACTTTACATAGTAAATTAGCTTTGTTACAGAACAATCAAATTCTCATATCATAATTAAACTAATTATCTAGAAAGTATAAGCTTGTGTTTCCATTGGATCACAAACAGAAAAAATTGAGTGATCACTCCCCAAAGGATCTGATCAAGACTAGTTAGTACTGATAACAGGGAGTTACTGATATCTGGTGGCCTCGTGGCAAGAAGCTGTGCTGCAATCCAAAGGCTCCTCAGAAGAAGGATGGGCAGTCTCCTCCCATGCGATTAACTGCCTCTGAAAATCTGCCAGAGGGTCAGCTATGGGTTAGCGCCAACTCTACAGTACACAATAAAAACAGTACTGATGATGGTGACCATAAAGAGAATATGATATGGTTGTGTAAACAATACAACATCACACCACTTGGAATACTGAACAGTGGAGAAGGTATATGCAAAGTAACCCCCACACAAATACAAGGGACATCTTGTAGGCATTAGGACCTAGGGAGCATTCGCATGAATAAAGTATATATTTGAAATCTGTCAGATTTCAGTCTTGTTAAAAATAGATCAGTTAATCACACTACTGTAAAGGATACACATCTTGGAGGAGAAATAGAAATGAACAAATGAGAGGGGATAGTGCTTTATTATATTTCCATCAGCAAGCAAATAATGCTGAAATAGATCCAAAGTTCAAAAAAACCAGGAAAAATAATGTGTATTTCATAAATGACGGTGGAAAATAATATGACCAGACTATTTTTTGAGGGTATATCCCCACACAAATCTGTATAAAGGAATTTACATCTGCTCATTTTTTTAAAAAAACAAACCAGATTTAATTTTATTAGAAACTTTTTTATTTTATTTTATTATTTTTGTGCATGTACCGTCAAATCAGATCTGACAGGTACAGGAGGAAATTGTCCCTCCTTCTCCGGCAGAGTATCTGGTGGATTTGAACCGTGTACCTCTGGGATTGCAGTACAGCTTCTTGCCACTAGGCCACCAGAGCTCCCCTAGAAACTAACTTTTCCACCTACATGTCATACCAAAGAACTGGTCTGACAAAAAAGGTCACTTTTTAGTTAGTTGTTATCTAACCCAGCATAAGAGAATGCAGCTAAGTACTAGATATTCAAATACCTGTTACTTTTATGAAATAATTTTTCCATTGGATTTTAATTTCACTATATCTTACAGTGGTGGCCTAGGAGATCTCAAAGGACTCTGCCCCATAATAGTCTATAATTATATAACTGGCAACTTGGCAAAAGAATTCTATTCATCCACACTTTCTGCCTCTTCAACTCCTTAAGAGTAAGCTGGCCAATGTACTCTTATTTATTTGGGCAAAATGTATGTCTCCTTCATTTATTTGGACTCAAAGTCCCTTATAATGTCCCTCATCTATCTTTTCCTATATTTTTCTAGATTAAAAGACTAAGCCTTGGAAAGGAACAATTTCATTTGAACACCCAAATAAACAAGGGCACATTGTTCTGCTGGTTTGGAGACTATATGGATATAAGAGCTTTAAAGTAGGAAGAGTCTTTTGTTAAATTTATAAGAAATGGAATTTTGTCCTATTAATCAGATAAAGAATGTGTGAGGTCCTTCAAGAACCTTTGCACATACACACTGGATATATTTTCAACTCATTGATTTTCCACAGGAAACTGGATTAAAAATATACTGGAAATTCCAAGAATCAATGACTCAGAGGAAAGCATATGAAGTCTGCGAGTTACAGGAGGTAATCACGTGGGCTTCAAAAGACAGTATTCTAGGGATTTCACTAGGTACCTTAGGGACATGCCCATAAGATCAACAGCTAAGCTTGGAGAAATTTAGACCATAACTCAGAACCAAGGGGCTTAGTAGCCAATAATAAGAACAATGTTCAAAAGAGATCTTGTCTGGCATTTAGGTAGAAAAGTATATTTGGATATTGATTAGATTGTGGAAAGACTGGAGACTTGTGCTATTTGGTTGGGTGATTAAGAGAAGCTTGAGGCATTTTCTGGAAAGATGAGGTACTGTCTTGCTTAAGGGTAAAGTGTTTGATAAGGCCAACTCAAAATGCAAGAAACTGCTTCAGTATACAGGCTAGATGAAAAACTACTACTATATGCAAGTTTATGAATTAGAAATTCATCCAGTTAAGAGTTATTCACTGTGAGCTGCGGTAAGAGTCAAGAAACTGATAGTGCTTTTGTTCAATTTCATAGTTTACTAACTAGTGGAGAGAGTATACACACACACACAAACACACACATGTATTGTTAACTAGGACAAATAGGATCCAAAGGTGATTGCAAGATCTTGGCACTGATGGGATCAAGCAATTTCTGTCACGTAGTGCCTCTGCAGTAATGAATGATGCATTGTAAACCCATTCCCATCTCAGTCTCTCTTGCCAGGTGCTCATAGTTTTTTCAACAGTTTTTCTGTGACCCTGAAATTTGTTATGTTTTACCTAAATAGACATTTATTATCATAAATTAGGGACTAGAAAGCTGAATCTATTCAAGAAACACTGAAGTTTGTTAACAAAAGAGAAAAGGCATTTTCCGCTCTAGAACCCAAGATTTTCCCTGATTGTTCTGCCATGTTGAGAATAAAGTTAAAAACTCCTATCTAAAGCCCTTCTGTTCTAACACTCTAAGACAGTTTTGAGTTCTATGATAAACCCTTTCTGATAGAATATAACTCAATGTTGATTTCACAGAGGAAAGTGAGGAAGAGAGTCTATCTAGTTCCTTCTCCCGGCCCCACTCCCACGGGTTCAATGCTGTTTTGTACCTTACTGTGTAACGGCTCTGGAGTGTGTTTTCTTTTTTCTGTGCTCTGCTGTTATATACTCTCGTTCTCAGAATAACTGAAAGCAAACATAGGGGGAATTTCTGCTATGGCTTTATATGTTTTCTTAGTTCAACTGTTCCAAAGTCCGCTCTCTAAAAAATCCCTCTCTGTGCACAAGCATTTGCATCTCTATCAAAGAGCTCCCCCCTTACAAATACCAAGTTGTATATAGTTTACATTACTAACCTCTCTGCCACTGACTGGGCCTCCTTCCTACCGCATACATCTTACTGAAGCTGCCAGGTTCTCACCACATTTAACTCTTAACTTGTCACTTTCCTACCTTCGTTCTATTCATTATTTAATAGTTTCATTAAGACTCATAGCAGTTTATTTCAAACCAAGGAGTCTTACAGTTTTGATACCTTTAATTCAAAGATACAGAAATTTTAGTGGTGAGTTGTACAGAGGAAAATTGTGATGCAAAATGAATTCATATACTTCTAATTCTGAGAAAATATCGAAGACCTGGTTGTTGAT